TACATACACATATACACTCGTACTCACGCACCATACATATTTGCACACCCATACATGCATACACACACTCATACCATACATGCATCTACACACTCATACATACACACACACACACACACACACGCTGTCGGGGAGCCAGCCCCTAACAAATCATCACAGGCCAAGCAGGCGCAATTGTACAGCGATAATACGTGAAGATTATAGTAAAGTCATAGAGAGTAAGAGAGAGAGAAGAGAGAGTGAAATAAAGGAGTCAAACACATTTCATGGTAGCATGCTCACCTCAGCCCCACTTGGTGGTCCACGTGGGGATGGGGAAGGTGGGAATGACAGGGGAGAAAGATTTATGACTAACCAAGGCTTATATATCTTTTGGGGGCATGCAAGCCCCCTAATTTCAGGTAAAGGCATATGTCACAGGAAGGGGTTGTACTATAGGTAATATAGTAACGAGAGGGGGACGATCTAGGGGTATACATGCAATTGGAAGGGGAGGGATTGGGGGTACACATGTGACAAGATGGGTGGACCCTAGATTCAGGATGGCAGCCTAACTTTGGATGTCACTGAGCAGGTTTGACCTGTTCTCTGACTCTCCTTGGAAACAATTACTCCAGTGGACCAGACAGCAGTCTAGTGGCTGACTGCCTTCCGGGAGATTATCTCTGAGCATCCGACCTCCCACCATGTGCTGGCAAGCAGCCTCTAAGGTTTGGCATATCTTTGGGGGAGACAAAGCTGGGGAAAAGTCTTACTATAATCCCACAACACACACACACAGAGTGACGGGAGATGAGGCCCAGAGCCATGGGTGTGGGGAGAGGAGAGGCAGCTGTGAGGGGCAGGGCAGTTCAGGCTGGGGCAGGAGGACCCCCCAGACATGGGTGAACTTGGGGCTGGGAAGATGGATGGTAGAGCAGGGATGGGCCTGGTGTGTGTGGGGGTGGGGGGTGTAGAGGAGGAGGGGGAGGATCCCCCCAAAGGCTGAGAGCCTGGGAGGAGGAGGAGATTTGGGGTGATGTGCTCACTGGGGATATGGTGTGTGTGTGTGTGTGTGACAGGTGGGGACCGTGGCAGTGGACGCCTGGCCTGGGAGGTGTGGGTGGGAGGGACCCCAGCGAGGAGAAGGGGGGAGAAGAGGCCCGGACAAATCAGGGAACCCCCATGACATGCTGGGTGGAGAGAGGGCCCTGGGGTGATCCAGAATCCGTGTGAGGGTGGGGTCAGCAGGGGGACCCGTGTGAAGTGCCTGCTCTCCCAGTGCCGGACTCCACCCAGACTTGAATTCAGCCCAAGACAGGAAACACAGGCTGAGCCCGGACAGACACATGGACAGGGCAAGGTGGGGGGCACAGGAAGATTCCTCACAAAAGCCCAGGTGCTGGGCAGCCGTGTGGGGCCCTCTCTCCAGACCTCCTCTCTCGGGGGTGGGGTCGGAGGGCAGATGGACCAGTGAAAAGCCAGAAAGGACACAGTGGGGGCCCAGCAGGGTCCAGGCTGCCTCCCCAGGGGCCCTCGGGGGCTGCCCTCTGTGTCTCTCCCGCTTCTCTGGGGCTCTCTCCTCTGTGCCTGTCTCTGCCTCTCTGGGTCTCCACCTCTCCCTGTCTCGCTCTCCATGCTGTTCTCTCTCTCTCTCACCGTCTGGCTGTCCCACTCTGTCATTGTGTCGGTCTGTCTGTCCCCACGTTTCCGGGTCTCTCTCTCTCTCTGCCTCTCTTTCCTCCTGTGTCTCTCAGTCTCTCCGTGGCCCCCTCTCTTTCTGCCCCTCATTGCTGTCTCTCTAGTCTCTCCCCTCCTCTCTGTCTCTTTGGCTCCTGGCTCTCCTCTGTCTCTATCTCTTTTCTCTCTATCTCTCCTCTTCTCTTTCTTGGTCTCTGTCTCTATCCTCTGCCCTCAGTGACTCTGTCCCCCCTGTCCCCTCTCCTGTCTCCTATCGCCTGTCCTCTATCTCCTGTCCCCTGTTCTGTCCCCCTGTCTCCTGACCCCTGTCTCCTGTCCCCTGTCTCCTGACCCCTGTCTCCTGTCCCCTGTCTCCTGACCCCTGTCTTGTGTCCCCTATCCCCTGTTCGGTGCCC